GTTTGTAATAGTCGGTGTAGGTAGGATGAAACGYTGCCGACAAATTCTTTATCATCTGCTTGAAAGATAAATAGAAAATAGATKGTGAATCGGATCGAATATTGAATTGAACCGGTTGATTGATTAGACCAGGCGTTACCATTTATTGTGTTTCTAAAAATAGACTTGAAGGCGATGGAGATTCATAACAACAAGGTCGATATAAACATGCTGACATGAAAAAAAAACAAAAACAAAAAAACAAAACAAAAAACAACAACAATGAAGAAACAAAGAGAGAAAGAAGAAAGAATGAAAGAAAATAAGTATACAAAAAAAGAAAAAAAAGAAAGAAATGAGAAGAAACGAAGAAACGGAGAGAGAAAGAAAAGAAAAAACAGAGCAAACCWTTTAATCTCCGCTTTTTGATAATCACTAGTCGCTCGACCTATCACTGCGCGCGAAATCTAAAGTTATACTAATACTTCAGTAGTATAGAACGTGATATGTGGAATTAATATTGAGTTTGGACTTAATTCACCAAGATATGAAGTTGATAAACAACACCAGTTGACCGCTGTTAAATAATATGACGGATTGGAAGCTAAAGATTAATTGAAATACCTTCGACTATAATGTATAATATTTTTCTTCCTCGTTCAGTTTTTGACAAACAAAGCTAGAGTCGTGTGAAAAGTCATACGTGATAATTGATTACTTTGGTTTTATGTCTAGCGTATAGAGCGTTTTCACGTGACGTCACAGCGGTCATTATGGGGTACCAAAACAATACATTTTCTATCCTCCGGGAATTGAACTCTATTTTTATGCAAATACTGTGCAGAAAGTTTCTATTGCTTATGGCTGCCTTCTCACGTGAGTGAAAACGCTCTATATAAAGGCAGTCATAACTTTACATAAAGCAAAAAGAAAGAAAGAAAGAAAGAAAGAAAGAAAGAAAGAAAATTGAAACTAACAACCTCGCGAAGGCACTCACAAATAACCGAACTAACAAACATAGCACACAACACAAGCAAACGAACACCTATGAATATAATCACAAGTTTAGAGAAATCGAGTAAAGAACAATAGAAGACACACAAAAGGRTCGTTAAATTCTAAAAAAAAACTGTCTTCATTCTTAAAGAAAATATCAATCACCAGACGAGAGAAATAATCTCACCTCGACACTGATAAACAAACCAATTAGTAACATTACTAGAATATTTATGTCACTTGACGTCACAGCTTTTATATACGTATATTTGGMTTCCATAGCGACTGTCTTTCAAATATTGGAATGCATTGCTTYGCTCTAAATCAATTTGAAAAAGTGGAAGACAGGAAAATCATCTAATGATAGCAGCGATCATGGCCTTGTTAATTAATGTTCCTAAATCATTAGTTTGAAGTGATTGTAGGTGTCATTCTTTCTTCTAAATGATGGCCGTCTGTTGTTGCATTGAATATGTCTTTATATTGAATAGTCTGAAAGGATGGATGGATAGATGGGCGGATGGATAGAGATGGATGAAAAGATGGATGGATGGATGGTAGGATAGATGGATGGATGAATGAATGCATAGATGAATGGATGGATAAATAAATGAGCGAATGGATATATTTATGAATAAATGAGAAAACTCAAATCCAAGGCATACGAATAACTTAAAGACTAAACCCACGTCGAATAATCAACAACCTCGAATCTGCAGCTTTGTGACTTTGATGTCTGGTGATGCTTTTGTTCTTTAAAGATCGTTTGATTAAAAAAAAAAACACCTCTTGAAGATACAGACGTCATATATTAAACCCTAGCTCGATTATGACAGAAKCACTTGCCACAATCCACGGTAACATAGCAACCAACGATAAAAAACGTKTTGACTAGAGCAGTCTTTGAATGAATGGGAAACGATGCAGCAAATTCGTAACCATACTGTAGCCATACCGTAGCTTACCGTATTTAATGGAAGACAATGGGAAGCCATTTCAATGTTACGTCATCTTATATATTGTACTTGCTGTAAGCCAGTAGCGTACGTTTCTCATTCTTATGGGAAGCCATTTCAATGTTACGCGGGCTATCGTACCTTGTATTCATACGAAAACCGCTCTTATAATTACTGTTACAGACTTGAGTTCTCATTGCGCATGTMTTGATGTATTTATCTAGAGTGGGCCGACTTCCTGTCAAAGCTACTTTGTTACTGCAGGAGCTACTAACCTTATAGCCATCTCATAGTTGTCTTGAGGCCGAACGTTTTGGGTGAGGAATGAAACTACTTAACGGTATTGGCGTAGTGTCCTATTGTCACTTGGCGAAATAAGATATATGGCATTGCGCGCACTGTGTTAACACCATGAAAAAGGTCTTTGGAAACTATATAAATCACATTTTTATTCGTTGCTCGTTTGAAGGCTTTTGATGAAGCACTTCACTGACTGGTTCAAACTCCGTCGAATCTAGCTAGACATGACATTTGTAATTTATGTATTTATTTTCATAGCATTATCAATTCAAATTTTGGTTTAGTTATTTAAGGCAAGGAATATAGGCAAAGTCCATTTAAAAAAAAACAACTTTGAAATAAAATCCTCGCCCAAAAATAAAATCAGCTGTGATAGCTTAGTGTAATTACAGCCGCCGGGTAAATTCAGCGCGACATTGGTGAAGGGTTCAGGTTAAGTTAGTCATTGGTATAAATAGGTCGTGCGTGAGAGAAAGAGGTCCAAACAAAGTTCAGTMTTCCTATATCATGAATATTATCTTTATTCTCATCGATACTCTGTAACAACCACAGGGCTGATCAAAGYCAGGACACGCGTTRYTCATAGATTAAATTGGAAATGAGTTTTGCGGAGGGAGGAAAATCCCCTTAGTTACTCCCCCTTACATGGAAAACGTTTTACTCTTATCTTGATATATAGCAYAACACCTGTTCAAATAAATGCGTTTCATAAAACAAAAAACATATGCAAGACCAACCTAACTTTTTCCCCTAAAGAAATGACTTCTTAATAAAGATCTTTGTATTGTTTTATTTTTATGTTGTAGTACTAAGATAGTAGTAAAGAAATATCAATGGTGATGTAACGAGACATATTAACAGCCAGCAGCGGAAATGATAAACACAGATCCATAAGCATCGCCCACAGTTAGCGAAAATTAAACTTTCRATTTCTTTTGTTTTGAGAGAAAAACGAAAGTCGTTATGTTTACTACTGAAGCAAAACGGAACTTCGAACTCATTATTGATATACCAACCGTAGACCGTGCCCCGCTAGGTTCCCGCAACGACGGCGCCGAACTGACCAGGGAATAATTTAGGAAATAAAAAACTACATCAAAAAATAAGCCACCTCATAAGAAACTGAATAAAAAACAACCAAAAAAATAAGACAACAACAATAAAACACGACCAAAAAAAATCAAAACACGTCCAAAAAACAAAAAA